GTAGGGCACTGCTCCCCCCAATCTGGGACTAATAGTAATAGACACAGAGATTTTACAGTTAAATTTTAGCACTATCAGCAGAAAGATTTAACTATGAAAAACCCAGAGAGTGTTCAGAACTCATACTCAAAGGCCTCAAGCTGCAGTTTTTCCATGACATCTCTGCTAGGTGGCCATCCACACGTTCCCAGACATTTTGGCACTTCTGGGAGTGGTGTGGGCCTACGCCGCCTGTGCCTGCATGATGTGTGTGAGGTCACATCTCATGAGGGAATGCCATATTAAAGAGCACATGGTCCTGCCCCTGCCAGCATGACCTTGTATGCAGAATGCATGATACGTGCTGATGCTGCATCTGCCACTAAATACCACGGTTGGTAGCCTCAGCTACTAGGATTGGACTGCTGTCTCCAACAGAGGCTGCTGCTGCAGGGCTTGCTGGCTCCTGCAGAGAGAGGCTACTCCCCTTGCAAACCCAGAACAGGAATGGTGCAGCCTGTGTGGAGCAGGGCAGGCGTGGGTAGCTCAGAGGCAACAGCTGCTTGTTCCTTTCATTTTCCTGCACGGTGGGAGGGTAGACACAAACGTGAGCTAAGTGTGGGGTCGAAGGGCAGGAGGTCAGACCACATGCTCACAATCCCCTTCTGGCCTTGTAATTTATGACCCAAAAGAATGTGCGCCCCTCCTCTCCAGCCAGCTGCACTGCTTAGGCAGGGGCAGAGTCTCAGGCAGATGGGAACAGCCTGCTGGAGAGGTAGCTGGGCAGGAGACGTCTCTACCTTTCTGTACTGCAACCCCGAATCCCACTACTTTGTACAGTCAGATAAGCTCTCTCCTCCCACTGACCTGGAAGGACTGGTGGGTATTGACACAATCTATACTTGTTTGGAGTTATGATTTCCTAAAAAGTTTGTGCAGTTTTCCTTTAGCTGCTGGGATTTGTTCTCCTTTTGAACAGAACTGGGAGTTAACACAAAAGGTGATTTCTGAAATAAAAGCAGTACTTTTGACACTCAGACCCTTATTATAACTCTGTTGCTTAAAGTCCTTTTAGTCCATTACTCGTATTTGTGCAAAGTAGAGGATTTTTCAGTTCCTTCTACTGTCTTAGTAAACTGTGGGGAGGCACCCAATTCTTTTCTTTGCTTAGGGAGTCTCCTGTGACAATGTTTGAAAACCCCTGGCTTAAAGGGATTCAAGAGCAACATATTATTCCTCCATTAAATATAATCAGCAGAAGAGAGTTACAAACTGTAATGAAATATGTGCTACTTTTGCTTCTTATTCTAAAAACCTGTATACCTCATATTCTAAAAACCTGTATACCTCAGATACTCCAAGCTCTGAAGTTATTCAGAAATATCTGGAAGTATCATGCTTGCCAAAGGGACTATCAGAGGCTCGTTCACCTGCACATCTACCAATGTGATATATGCCGTCATGTGCCAGCAATGCCCTTCTGCCATATACATTGGCCAAACCGGACAGTCTCTACGCAAAAGAATAAATGGACACAAATCAGACGTCAAGAATTATAACATTCAAAAACCAGTTGGAGAACACTTCAACTTTCCTGGTCACTCTATTACAGACCTAAAAGTCGCAATTATTCAACAAAAAAACTTCAAAAACAGACTCCAACGAGAAACTTCAGAACTGGAATTAATTTGCGAAATGGACACCATTAAATTAGGCTTGAATAAAGTGGATGAGTCATTACACAAACTAAACTATTTCCCCATGCTAATTTCCCCCCTACTGTTACTCACACCTTCTTGTCAACTGGTTGAAATGGGCCATCCTGATTATCACTACAAAAGTTTTTTGTCTCCTGATAATAGCCCACCTTATTCAATTAGTCTCATTAGAGGTGGTATGGCAACACCCATTTTTTCCATGTTCTCTGTATATCTATCTATCTATCTATCTATCTTCCTACTGTATTTTCCACTGCATGCATCTGATGAAGTGAGCGTTAGCCCACAAAAGCTTGTGCTCAAATAAATTTGTTAGTCTCTAAGGTGCCACAAGTACTCCTCGTTCTTTTTAAATTGACAAAGAAACCTTCGATAAAGAAATAACAGAAGAAGAAATTTAGAGGCAATAGAAAATACGAAAAGCAGTTAAACTCCAGGAGCTGATGGCTTTCCAGCTGAGTTTTATAAGGAATTTAAGGAGGTATTAACGGGTCCTTTGAGAGAAACCTCCAACGCTATTCTGTTAGGGAAAGAACTTACACAACCTATGAAAGAAGCTATTGCTGTTGTTCTCTCTAAAGTTGGAAAGGGCCTGACTGTATGCAGGCCTTCATCACTACCGAATCATGGCATAACTATTGTAGCAAAAATACTAGCTAGCCTATTGCAGTCCATGCTCTCATCTTATATAAATCCAGATCTAAGTGGATTGGTTAACACCAGACAAATGTCAGGCAATATTCTGAGAGTCCTTGGAATCATCCATAATGCCAGATCAGCAAAAGATCACTTGACACAGAGAAAGCTTTCGACAGAATAGAATGTTGCAAGTCCTATCCTGTGTGGACATTGGTTCCCAGTTCCTTAATCAGATAACGGCTCTTTACGCCAGCCCGAAAGCAGCTCTGTGAGTTAATGGGGTTAAATCTCCCCCATTTGAATTACACAGAGGGACTAGGCGGGGATGTCCATTGTCTCCTTTATTTTTTGCACTGGCCAGGGAGCTTTTTGCGCAAAGGAAAAGGATCAGTGAATCTATCACAGGAATAGAACTTGCAGGAACCCATCAGAAACAAGTGGTGTATGCAGTCGATGTAATGTTAATTTTATCTAAACCAAAGACTTCCCTATACTTAGTTTCTAAAGAAATCTATGACTTTGGGAAAACATCTGGATTTACAGTAAATTATGCCAAATCTGAAATTTACTAGCTGTAAATTTGCCAGACTCTGATAAGTCATTCCTTCAGAAAACATTTGGGTACAAATGGGCAATAAAATTCTATAAGATCCTAGGAATTCAAATATCAAGCAACCCATAAGAGCTCTATGATGTAAATGTCAAGCCATTACTTCAGGAAATGAAAAAAGATGTGAAATGCTGGGGGAAGTATGCAATTTCTTGGTTGGGAAGAACAGCCACACTCAAAATGAACATTTTGCTAAGGATATCTTTCTTGTTTCAAAATCTTTCTGTGATCATCCCAGCTAAAACCCTAGCAGGAATACAGAGGATGTTGTTGCACTTTATATGGAATAAGAAAAGATCAAGAATAAGGGCAGATACTTTGTACAGACCCACTGAACAGGGTGGACAAGCTGTTCCAAACAGTCTGATGCTATCAAGCCAGACAACTCAAAGCAGTAGCGGACTGGAGGGTGCACTAACCCCACCAAACATTGGGTCTTTATTGGGCAAAAAAAGTGTGGCAGTGTAAACATCGCTAGGTCACCATAGATTAACCAAAAAAACAAACAAACCCACACACCCTCCAGAAATTATACATGTGCTTGAGCAAAGGCTACTCTATGCCTTTGGGATGGTACTAGAAATAAGGTAAATTCTTTTCCCTCACCAAAACACCCCTTGCGAATAATCCAGATCGTAATCCAAATCACAAACCAATGAGCTTTAAAGATTGGGAGAGCAATGGGATACATATGGTTGGGCAGCTATTCAGTAAAGAAACTTTTACTAATCTATTTAGAGATCAAAACTAGCATTAACAGGCCCATTCTCCCATGGTACCAGTACATTCAAGTTAGGCATTATGTTTTCAACTTTCTAAGAAAGCTGTTTTATACAGCAAGATAACTCTAATAGAAGCAATGGCAACTCGTCAATTATGAAACAAAAAATTATAACTAATCAATATCAATCTTTGTACCCAACTTTCTTAACAAAAAAACCCATCTGTATATGACACAGGGGGAAAGAATCTGTATAGACAAATAACCTCAGAGGAATGGGGTTAGAGAGACTGAGAGACAGAGAAGTGTTGGAGAAATAGAGTGAAAGAGGGGATTTTTATAGATAGGGGATAAGCACTGGAGAAACTGTGGTGAAAGAGGAGATTTTATACCCATATGGTCATTAGATAGTATTGAGATACAATTTGTAACCAAATATCACAACTCGTTCGATATTTATTACCAAATGATCCCTTGGGAACCCTCCTGGGCCCTCCTAGCAGAACTAGTCACATAAAAGGAAATGAAAAATTAATCTCTCATCTGCTAGTAGATGCTGAGTTACTGATACCTCTTAGTGGAGAAGAAAACAGTGCAGTTCTCGAGGAATGGTTCAAAAAATATGGGAGGTTGTTATGCAAATATAATGCATCTATTATGTACCCAGCTAAAGAAACTGAGGACAAATAGATATTTAGATGTTTAGTTACCATTTATTCAACACTCAGAGTACATTCACCTGAAACAAAAGCAGCACAGCTGTCTAAAGTTTTTTGAATATTACAATTTGATAGGCATTCCTGGTCTGTTCAATACATGCAATCAGAGATTCCATTCAGTTTAATAAAATCACTAAAAATGACATCATAGGTGTTGTAAAGAGGCAATATGGTAATAAATAGAGATCTGATGACTGTATTACTGTATAATGTCTCTTTAAACAAAAGCTTGCAACTTTAAGGACTGTTGTTTTGTTTCTGATATTTACACAGCAGGGATTTGTAAACCTGTTAATACTTCCTAAATAAATAAATAAATAGTAAATAGTAAAAACAAGACATGGAATTTCTAGGGTAAAATGGTCGGCCTCTTTAGGGACTTCAATTAAACCAATGGAGTTAACTGATGTTCAAACTGCAGCATAAGAAGCAGCCTCTGTACTGCCAGGTCTGACATATGCCAGTGCCATGCGCTGCTGCCTCAGCAATAATTCGTTTTCTAGTGGTGTGCCAACTATCAATTTCAGCCTGAGCTGCACTATTGAGAAATGCAGTTGGCTCCCTGCCAAACACTCTGCTATACACTTATTCTTAGTTTATTGATAATTACTGACCTGCATCAAACCAAATCCATTTCCACGATCACCCGTGCCATTCTTTAGGGCCTTTCCAGCATGCGACTCTCGAGAGATGATACCAGCAATCACAGCTGGATCCACACATTTTTTTCTTCCAGCGCTCTTAATGATGGTTTTATAATTGTTCATAGTATGTAAGTCTTTCTGTGCAATCGTTGTTGAAGCACGAACTCCTGTAGTAAGTGGAAAAGTAGAGATGTTTTCTTAATAATTTTAATATCAACAAGAGATTTCCTAAGCACAGAGCTCTGCACTGCCATCTGATAGCCCTTCTGCGAGTTATGTGCATTGTGAATTTTGCAGTATGAATTTTAACGTGTCAAGGCAAAAAAAAAAAGTGCCTTGAAATAATGTGTAAAATCTGGATTTAGTTCTTAGGCCCCAGGATGAAGGTGAATGGGCTTGCTGAGGAGGCGGCGGGGGAGAGTGCTCAGATTCTGAAGAGAAATCAGCTGCAACCTGTCACTCTCTAGATTATGCAGAAGTGATGTTGACAGGAGCTAAGAGGAGTCACATCTACCCCTCTATGGCCAGAAGGACAGGACTGTAATATTTGAAGTTGAGAGGGGGATTCAAAATGGTGGGATTCTTAGGGACAGTCGCGGAAGACTTAATGGGAATGGGAAGCTGTAATTTGAGATAGTTCCCAATAGTTGCATTTTCCTCTCAGTTTCTTTTGGAGTCTCAGCACCGTTTCATGCTACATTAGGAGGGAATCTCAATCCTACTCAACATGGGAGGCATAAAGTCCAATTTTGTTTGTAGAGTAAAAGAATAAGAAGCTCCTTCGATGTTGATGTTGATCTGATGTCCCTATAGCTGGTATAAAATAGTGAGTACTAAACTAGAGTCTGGGAGTCAGGAATTCCTAAGTACTAATCCCAGCTTTGCCATTGACTTGCTGAGCAGCCTTGAGAGATTCAGTTGGGCCAAATTTTAATAAGTGACTGTTCAGTTTGGGTGTTCCAAACAGACTGGGGTCTATTTTTTGAGGGTTCGGAGTACTCTCAGATCCTGGTAATTTTAATTAGAGGTGATTGTGTGAGCACTTCTGGAAATCAGACCCTAAATGTCTGAAGTTGGGCACCTAAAAAAAATCAGAAGCCACTTGTGAAAAAATTGGCTGTCACCTTTCTGGGCCAAAATCATTTGTAGTATAACTGCATTGAAGCCAGTGGAGTTACACCAAAATTTTATTAAGTCCTCCTCTCTGTCTTAGTTTCCTCATCTGTGAAATGAGGACATAATAGGAGAAAAATAATAGTAGAAATGAGGAAATAATCAGTATTTAGCCAATAGGAATGTTATGAGGTTTAATCAATTAATACTTGTAAAGTACTTTGAAGGTGTAAAGTACTATGGATCATTGTGATGACTCTGTGTGATGAAATACAGCAACAAAACGGCAGAGTTATACTCACCACAGTATGGTAAGCCTTCTGCTTTTGCAGTTCTACAGGAAGCCCCAGTGGTATCAACCTTGTTTATGACACCATAGCATCCAGTCTGACTCTCAGAAGTACCTAACCAATTAAATGGAAAGATTTTACATTAAGAACCTTTTGTGAACATAAGTAAAGCTAAAAGAATTCAAAGTCATGAGCCAGACTCAGCTCCACTCTCAGGTGGGTTCCATTTCATAGGTTTTTTTGGGAGGGGTAATTTTTTTTTTTTATTATTTCTCTTGGACAGGAGGACTTGCTAGCCAGAAGTCACTGCCTCTGTGAAGGAAAGTCCTGTGAAAATGGATCTATATTTTAATTTGGCTCTAAAAGAGGCAACACATGAAAACCTCTTGTCTTCTATATCAGGTGCCCCTCACTGAGACCACCCTATTGCCACTTCTTGCAAGAGTCATCCTTGATCCTAAGAGCCAAATTAGTCTGAAATAGTTTATCTCGTTGCTTTTGAACCAAAAACCAAACTCATTCTTCCACATACAGCAGCTGCCTGAGTCCCCTGAGAAAAGGCAGGACCAGCTTTTATTTTTGGAGTCCTGGGACTCATCCTCAGTTGTTTAGACACACAAGGGATAAGAAGCCCAACCCTTCCTCCCGAGGTCTATTGGCCTTTACCCTACATGAGACTGTGGGGAACTGGTCCTTACTCCTTTGGTTGGCCATGGAGGTATTTTGCCTTTTTCTTTTGTACTACTTTAACCCCACATGCCAAAAGGGAGCAGAGTCCCAAAGAGGCATAGCCAGAGGGCTGTACCCCAAGTCTGCAGCCAAGGCTACAGTCAAGCTGCTGTCCAGAGAAGGATGTCCAGGATGAGAGAGGTGCTCCCCTCATCCCCAGGGGATGCCAAAGAGATAAAACCTATCACACACCCCATCCCCACAAATATCTTTTTACATTCTTGCTTTGGCAGTGAGCTAAGTGAAATAGAAATAGACCCTAGACTCACCAATGAGGGCAGCAAGGCCCAGAATCATCAGCATTAGTAGCATGGGGACAGTTCTTCTCAAGCACCCAAGAGAGTCGGAAAATAAATCAAAGTCTGCAAAGAAATGAAAGTAACTAAATGTACAATGCTACTGTGAAGAAGTACTGTTGTCTGACCCTTTTAGAGGTTAATAATGATTGTAATGATGGCCAATTGATCTGACTGCAATAAGGTTCTTTTCCCCAGAATCAGGCTACAGAACTAAAACTATGGAGTTTGATATCTTGCGGGGAGCCTCAGGGTAGATGGCAGGGACACTCACACTGAGGACCAAGTAAAGCCTTTGATACCTTTATTAGAATAAGGAACAAAGCCAGAAAAGATCCCAATCACATGAAAAGATAGAGATAATAGAGTATTGGGGCTATCTGTGGTATCATTCTTTACATAAGCCCTTAGAAGTGCATACTCACATCGTTCCTTAAGGACCTGGTGGTAAGAGACAAAAGACCGGCACTGTCTCTAGCATGCCACAGTGTCCGATGGACCAAGTTCCTCAATGAGCTGAAGGGTCAAGTGGTAGAAAGCAGAAAGTGATGGAAGAAGCCCAGAAAAAACTCTCAGCCACATGGTGGCTGCCCTGTTATAGGGCCTGAGCATCACCTGCTCATGCTCAGTCCTCCATGCCCAAATTTAGCCTTTTCACCCACATAATACTGAGGTGTACTTATTCTATAGGTTAACATATTGAGCCATGTAACTGCCATCCTACCCATCACCCCTTCCTTAAGTGGATTTGTGGTTATTATTTCTATGTTCCTTGTGGTAGCATTTTCTGGTAAATTCTAACTCTACCATTGAGCAACCTCTCCTTAGTTCCCAAAATCTAAAGGTAACCGTTAGGCCATTTATCTAAGCCAAAGGTTGCAGCCTGTTACACTTGACTATACTTATGCTAACTCACTTCAGCTAAATGTCTTACAGGATCCAGGCCTGTAGGTTTCTTGCGTTACAGCTGAATATAATGAAAGCAGGATATAATAAAAGCAAGGCAGTGAATATGATAAAGATAAGCTAGCCCTATGGGCTAGAGTACAAAGAAACCATTTTTTAAATGATGGGGCATTGTTCTTTACTGAATGTGCAAACACTGAGATACACTGTAGAAGACAGGCAAGAGAATAAATTCAGAATCAAGCTGTAATAATGCAGTTTTGTTGACATTCGTATTTTGTCTTTCATGGAATATCTTAATAGCTTATTTCCAAATACAAACCTTAGTAATATTTGATCTGGACTTCATATTATTAATAGTGTTTAGTATGACCTGCTGCTATATATGTACTTTTATTCTATGCCAAGGTACCCTACACACTCTGTGCAAATGTTTACTAAATTCATTATTTATTTGAGCAGGGCACGGGATTATAACCTCAAATCCCCTTGTAGCTGCTCTATGACTCTAGTTTTTTCTAAAGTAATCTGAATAATAAGCAGATGTCTCTTATCTTGAAGTCACTGTACAGCAGAGACACAGTAATAATCACTAAAGGGCAAATTTTGGAGTTTTTTCTCAAGCAGAGCTTTCATTGAATTCAATGAGTAAGGAATTGCCCTTCCATTACCACCCATAGGATTTTACTAATGAGCAGAATTGGGACTAGTTCCACTATGAATAGCTTGATATTTCATTCACCTGCCTTCAGTTTCTTTTCTCCTAGAAGATGGTTGTTTTGAAGAGCTTTATATACACTAGAAGGTTCCTTCCCTCTTTATACAAAACAACCATATCAGATGTGATTCAAGTTTCAAGTTTATAATTAAATCAAACCAGCGTCTTTCATTATGAGAGTTGGTCTGTGGGAAGGTATAACCCAGGGCCGGCTCCAGGCACCAGCTTGTCAAGCAGGTGCTTGGGGCGGCCGCTCTGGAGAGGGGCGGCACGTCCAGGTATTCGGCGGCAATTCGGCGGACGGTCCTTCACTCCGCCTCGGAGCGAAGGACCTCCCGCCGAATTGCCGCCGCAGATCGCGATCGCGGCTTTATTGTTATTTTTTATTTTTATTTTTTTGGGCTGCTTGGGGCGGCCAAAACCCTGGAGCCGGCCCTGGTATAACCTCAGTTCCGCTATGTGGCAAGATTCAGATTTCGAAAGAAACAAATTCCCCTTCCTCTGGGTTCTACTTTTCATTAGCTTTCTCTCCCTACAGTCTGTGACAAAATCCAAAGCAAAGATGAGGCATTCATCCTCTCCCCAGGAATGTATTGCCCAATCTTGTTGCGGTGTCACAGACCCTCTCAGGTGAGACTGTGGCAACAAACAAACAAAAAGCATTTTCCCTCCCAGGCAGGAGCAACTAATCACTAGAGGATGGCGCACTTCATTGCTGCTGTTGTCTAAGCTCATTGCACATACCAGAGGCTCCTTGCATTCCTCCGTTTGCCCCACAAGCTGGGTGTGAGATGGCTGCCTTCCTGGATGACACACCAGGGGCTGAACTGGGAACTTCAAGAGCTAAAAGCATAAGCTACCACAGCTTGAGCTAAAGAACCAACACTGGACCTGGTGACTATTACAACACATATCCTCTACTTATTGGGCACAGAGGTGGTCCTGTAGTACACACTCACTAGATCACTACATATGCACCCTCCCATCTCTCTCTATTTTAGGGACTCCTTGCAAACTCCCTCTTCATGCCAGGGGCTGTATTTGGCCCCCACATTCTCCTCTTCCCTTCATGCCATGTGTGCCCCATTTTCACTATCCTCAGCCTTCAGTGAAGGAGGCTTCATTCCATCAATGCCCATGGAAGGAAAGGGACAAGTGTATGGCTGGTATCTTCTCTACTTCTCTTTCTCCCCTTAACCATAAAGCAGGTTTGGTGAGGCAACATGCTTGGAAGGAATGAAGAAGTCTCCTTTTTTCTCCTCTACCTCTGACTCCCTCTGCTGGCTCAGCATCCGCCCGAGAACTGTTAGGTAAGTCTCAGCAGAGAGAGTAAGGGGCAACATTAAGGGCAAATGGATTTTCTAGTTTTCTGATTTTTACCAAAATCAATAGGGCTCTGCAGATGTGAGGATCCAGAAGAAAAATTGGAACTTGTGGGGAAAAATTTTTTTTTCCCTGAGGCCCAGTATGGAGACGTTGGAAATTTGAGGGAAAATTGAAAAGAAACTGTTCTATGAAATATTTTCTCTCAGAATGAACAGTGAAAAACTTCTAGAGGAATGTTTAAATTTATATTGTTACTGCTGCCCATCAGCCCTTCAAAATGCTTTGTAATAATAACTAATAAGTATGCAAAATGAATGCTTCTCTAGAAGTATGAGGGTTTTTTTTATATCTGCATGACAATGTCTACTAATTATGAGCCCAAAGGCTATAACGTTCCTTTTAGTTTATAACAATAGTGGTGCTTTCTGTTTTCAACATTTTATATTTGTTTCATATATGCCAAGAGGTTAAAAAGAAGCACTTAAATACCTTAATGTGAAACTGCAGCTCCAGCCCTAATACTACCTATCTTCGTCATTATTATTCGGATTAAAACTAAAGAATCTGTACTTATCTATCTCATTAATATTCCAAACAGTACTTTCTTTATGTGCTAGCTAAATTATACAGAATACATTTCTGATTATTAAAGAAGTAAATAAAGTTTAGCTTTGATAAGCAGGTACCTCCTGCAGATATTTCAATTTTTTCCAAAATTTCCATTTTCATAGGGAAAAAGGGTGGGTTTTTTCCCATGCCTTCAACATTTCTGGAAATGTTACATTCCTAGCTCTGCCTATTGATGCCTAGAACATTCCCTGGAATTTTGGAGGTGATCAGATATGATGCTCAAAAGATATCACATTACGTCCAGAGACATGCAATCAAGATGAGTGTAGGGCATCACTGCATTCGTTTCAACAGCCTTTACGTGGCCAAAGCCCCATCAAATAATCCACAGCTGTCAGCCATACTGTGTAGCGTGGCTGTACTGCAGGGTACAGTATCACCTGCTGTGGACAGGGGACTCTTGTTTCAGCCCCTGGAAGCTGCAGTGAATCTTGCTGCCACAAATATGGCAGGAGTCTCTAGAGCACATAGACTTCAGCTAGGAATGGGAGGAGGCACAGAGCAGTGCACACAAGCTTCTGTGGTGCTAGTTCAGAGCAGCCATATAGAGGCAGAGTATAGGGCTCCTTGCTCCCACGGTCCATGCTGCCTCTGCTCCTACTTCTCTAGGCCCAGTGAGGAGGAAGTGGGGTGGAGGGATTTTTGAGCTTTTTGAGGGATTTTTTTTCGGAACCTGGTGACAGTAGATGTCAGGTAAGAAGAGATGTTGTTTCTGAGCCTGGCAGGTTTTGGGTATGTGCGTGTTGATCCTGAGACTGGGGGTTTGGTGTTGGAGAGGCATCAGTGCCTACAGGGATGGGTCCAGGCTGTGGAGAGGTCAGGTAAGACGAGAGGGAGGATTCTCAGTCTGGGATTTGAGGGTGTGTAAGTAGGTTGGGTTAGCTTAGAGGTTGCTGAGCTGGGGAAGGCATGGCATGGATGGATTTGCAGGGTTTAGTGCATTGGGGTGGGAATTGGCTGCTGAATGAGAGTGTGGGTTAAACACCCCACTGTCTTCCTGAAACCATTTCCTCTCTAGCTATCTGTGTTTGATGATCCAGGGTTTGTGCACTAGATACGAATCTGGCACAGGATAGCGCTGGCCCCAGAGGCTTCCCTTACCAGGCTTAAAAAGCCATGTTACACACTAAGTAGTGTTTGTCTTGTGTACGAGGGGCCTGTGACCTTCATTTATGGTGGTATTGACCTCTCTTGTGGCCCTGTCTGTTCACTGATCACTGGCTCTGATATAATCAGTTAATGGGTATTTTTTTTCCAGCTTTCATGAGGATATGCAGGATTGGGTGCCCCCTGTCACTGACAACACTTTCATTATACATACTAATTTACCATGCCAGTAACTATTGTATGACTGACACATCTGCATATGAAGTGATGTTCTACTTTTGGGTTCTTCTGGAATTTGGTTTGTCTATTGTTTGAACAATAACCATACACCCAGACTCTTGATCACACTGTGTGGGATGTTCTTCCCGAGGATGCAATCACACACTCAAGGATGAAATATTTCTGTTTGTGGAGCGTTGCCAGGAATCATCAAGCCAGGGAAGTTCTGGTTTGTACTTGCAAGAATAAATCATTATTAATTATTCAGCTAGTATTAGGCTTCGTCCTTAGCTTCATGACCTCCCTACCAAGAGATTAGTGGCTTTGCATAAAACTTGGACTCCAGGTTACTCCCACACAATAAACTTCATTAACAAAATGAAGGTTGTGCAAATGTACTTTTCTCACAAGAACACAGACTGGCAGGCTTCCCAGAAGATGAGAGGCCTTGGAAAGACTGGAGGACAATTCCTGGGGTCAGATTTCCAAAGTTTGTCTCTTTAAAACTTGCAGAAATTGGCCTCTTATCTCTAGTTTTACTACAGTGCC